CAGGAAGAAAAATAGGCACACAAATTGAGGAATATGAAGGGCCTAGGAAAATGGTTACAGAAATCAGAATTAGAGGAGTGAAGATATAGACACACTTCATGAAAGAAATTTAATGAACAAGAGATTGGAAGAAGGCAGAGTTAACAAAAACTTTGCACATTGCTTATGAATATTCGAAATAAACAGGGATATTCGCAAGAACAGCAAAAAATGGACGAATGAATCAGGGACCTATCGTTAACCAAAGGAAGAGAGAAAGCAAAGCAGAAGCGAGTTGACATTCGGAATTCAAATTTCAGTAAATTTAGTAAGCTCGAGGAATTAACTACAACCTTAATAGCTTGATGTACAAGGGAATAGAAATACAGTCACGATCGTCATAGAAACTTGTCATTATAGCTAGCTGATCGGATTAAATTCAACTATAAATCCATTAAGTGCTGCAAGAGATCATAGATAGATGCTACCAATTTGTTTAGAGTACAAAAGTCTGTGGAGACAGTGCGACGGAACGTCTGGGAATGTACAAAGTCCACGACCCAACGCTAGGAATTATAAATATTATAGCAAATTATTTCGGACAAAGTTTGTTTAAGTAGATCGCCTTGAAAACAAGGCTAAGTTGTGAAAACGAGATCAGACCACTTCTATGCAGCTAAAGAATAATGCGATAAAAACAGAGAACACATCTTAGTCTTCAGATTAACGAAAAAATACATAAATTATGTTACGCAATGTAAAAATAAATGACCATATATGATTTCACTACAATTTGAAAAACGTATAAAGGTCTTCTAATATCAAGTGGTAATTATATAAGATATGACAATCCTGTTAAATCATCAATATTCGAACCAACAACTAACGGTAGCAAACAAAGCAGGAACTAGAAAGTTGTAACTGGTTCTAGGCGTTTAGTTGCAAAGACTTAAAAAAATCCAGCTAAAAGACTCGACTTAAATGAAAATAATGAAATTAGAAAGGCGAGAATTACGTTTTTCCTGAATTCGTTTAGGGTTTTATATTTCTTTAGCAACTCGGCAAGACGATCGTCCATTTCATAATTTTTCTTGCCGCTGTAGTGTAAGAAGGCCCAAAACTTCTCAAGGCCGTATAAATGACCGTTGTCGAAATCAGATAATGTTTCCTCCTAAAGATAAAGAGATAAAAGAATTGAGGCCAAAATAATTGTAAACAGATTTAAATGATGGATAAACTGTAGACAGCTAATCAATTGAAAAATTGAAATGTGCACAATTAATTTTGATGTTTCTTCATCCTTGCAAGTGTTCTATTAGTATAGCCTCAAATATTGCATCATGATTGCATTCCACAGCTGTAAACGTGGAATTCAATATAAAACTAAATCTTATAAAGTAGATTCTGCTTATAGATCGAGGTTCCATCGATTAATAAAAACATGTCTGAGACCCTAAATTATATTACAGCAGAAATAATTCTTGATCTTTTTGACAGAAAGAGATGCAGCATTGGAGTAAAAGAAAAGGGCGAGGAGTGATGCAACATCGAATGAAAAGAAAATTGATCAAGGGGATTACCTCCACTTGTCACTTTGATAAGTTTTAACTCTCTTCTAACGATTACGTCTCTGAATGTATAAACCACGAATACTATGGTACAGAATACAGGACTAGACACGTTCCACAATGTCTCTCTGATGCTCCGACCAAGTTGTGAAAACAGTCGGACCAACACAATAAAGCTAAATGAGACTGCGGCCAAACAGAGGGACACACAATCTTGGTCTTCATATCTACGATCTAATAGTCCTTCAACACAGAGTGAGCAATGATTAGTCAAATGGTTTCCATAAGCCATGTGAGTAGCATCTAAAACCAAAGGAACTTGACTAAATTCACTTGAGGTTACAGATTTTAGGAAAAAATTAGACTAATCAGACAGATTGATAATTCGTCCTATAAAATGGGGTTGAGAGATATAGGTGTGTCGTTATAAGCTATAACATGTGGAGTGGATACGGCATAAAGGTTGAAAAGAAACTTGGTTATTTGTCACCTTTATAAGCTGTAACAGTCCTACGGATGGTGACAGCATAAATCGTAATAATTTAATTTAGGTATCACAAAAAGCTTTCGAAATGTATGGGAGTCTGCGAAAGATCCATCGAATAGCGTCCAATCTTGGTTAGAGAATGGTTAGGACGTATTTTTTATACACCAACTCTGCGATGGACTCGTGAAAAAACTTTCAGTTTTGAAAGTAGTTCAAACTTACCTTACGACTAATCTTGATAGCGATAGTTGATGATTCAATAGAAATAGTAAAATCTCGAAATACCAACTTCATCTCTACCTGGGATACTCTGAAAGAGCTTTCAGGAAAAAAAATAAGTAAAGGACTCACGTCCATCGCCAGGACCCTAATTATTCCCAAGATTAGTTCTAACCATTCTTGATTCGCATGGTTTCGTTGCCATTCTGCAATAAAGGGAGACCATGTAATAAGACGTGTTCAAAAGGCGCCTATCATTATTAGTTTTTGAGCAATGGTTTTGCTTCATTTAAGCCACTTCTAATTCCACTGTATTTTTCTTTAAGTTTATTATTATCAACCAATATCGGCTTTCATAAAGGCGAAAATTAGATCAGAATCCATAAATTGCACAATTGTTACATGAATTGGAGTATAATACTTGGAAATTAAAAAACATCCCAAAAAGTATGTTTCACATACCTGGAAGTCTTTATATAGTGACCACTTGAAACGTCTTTCAAGACCATATGAGTAGAACC